GCAGCTAGAGCACAAATATTTTCACTAGTAGAATGGAGGGTGGCTCTTTAAAAAAGCACAGAAGTACTGACCCACAACCCCCCTAGAACCTGCAAAGTTTAACTATAGAGCTGATGGGAAATTGGAGAGAGTGTGAACCTGATAGTTATTGCACTAACCTGGGATGTGTGAGACCCACGTTCAAGTCACTGGTGCAAGTCTGGTAGGGTAGGAACTACAGCCTGCATCTTCCACATCCCAGGTGAGTGCCCTAAACTCTGGCAATCCTGGGGCTGGCGGTCTCTATTTTGCCCAAAAAAATTCCAGGGTCTCAGTTTTCTCCCCGTGCAGAACAGAAAGCTTCTTGCAATGAAAATTTTTCTCAGGATGGGAAAAAACATTTTCTGCACAGCTCGACTTGATTGTCCTTTCCCTGCCTGCTTAATTTGAACCAGACACTGTAACCGTGGATGGTAGTTAAAGCGATTTCTTTGTTTTTTCTCATTTGAAATGAAAAACCAAACACATTCCAAAAATGTCTTAACAAACCAATTTGACATCCCCTTCCCCCAACCCAATACACTTTTTTCAGCTGAAACTATTTGCTCTATTAGGCCCAAATTAACAAATAGTTTTGGTGCACCAAAAATATATATTTTGCAGCAAATTTACTAATTGACAAAAAAAATAACACTAGCTCTAGTGGTAGATCCACAAGCCTGTTCCAGTCTATGCCTCCCTACATGCCTCCTTGGAATGGATATATATGAAGCTATCCAAGCCCAACTCATTCCAGTGGGCAGAGCTGAACTCTTCTCTGGTTGTACAGGGCAACAGGGTCTTGGGAAAGGATGTTGGTGTATGCACTACTAGTGTTTGGTATGTCTTGATTTGAGGGGAGAAACGTCATTCCTTCCCATCTAAAAAAGAGATCTCATGGCTCTAAAATGGAGTTGAGCAAGGGATGGTGATGGGCCCATTGGGCAAGAAATGCATCCCTCAGAAGTGACTGGGGATGTGACAGGTTTGCCAGAGCCAGTGGAGCATTCCCCCAAAGCATTCCCCCAAAGCAAGCTCCTTTTAACTTTACAGCAGTCAATTGATGTCCTACTCAAGGTGGCCACTTGGGCTTTAAATTCTACTATGTAAAACAAAATTTTCAAAAAGTGCGGTCAGAATTAGGGCCCTGACCTGGCTGGACTTTTGGGTTAAGATGGGAGATCTTTCCTTTTGTTGCCACTTCACCCAGAACTGCTCCTGGAGGAAGTAGCCAGCCCTTCTTACCTTGCCTGCCTTGCCAAGTTTTGCTTCTGCCCACTCCCAGCCCTTCTAGCTGCTGAAGAACAGCTTTGCATTGTTTCCACTAGCCATTGATCCTGGATGGCCTCTCTAGGCAGACTTTGGAGGTCTAAACTTGCTTCTCTTTTTCCCCAAAAGGGCATCAAAGTGCTGGGGCATCAGACGTCTGGTAGGCCCTGTCTTAGGGGAAGTTGAGGTAGCCTCCTAAATATCAGTGAGAATCAGGCCTCCTGCAAGAGATGCTTCCCTCAGCCTCCTCTCATTAGTTAAGACTAGAATGGACCCTTTCCACAAATTGTTTTGTGTGTGTGTGTGGGGGGGTGTTTTTGAAAAATCCTCAGACACATCTGTTTTCTCACCCCCCATGTCCTTTCAATTAACCCTCTGCAGAGAGGCAGAAGGTGCCTTTGGGCTGTGCCAACCTCTTTTAATATTGTGGTGACTGAGAGATGATAAGGAATTAATTTACTTGAGGTTCCCCTCCCCCTTTCCTGGCTTCTATTTGAGTGTACAGCAAGGCTTTTTAAAAAAACACAAACACGTATCTCTTTTACAGTGATTTGCCTCATGTATAGTTTAGTCTAGAGTATGTTAATATTCTGTCTTGCGTTCTGTCTGCTGTACAAGGCCCATTAGCAGAACCCGGGAAGCAGTGCAGTGCTATTATGCTGAACAACAAAATAAAACAAAATTTCACAAAGGGTTGTTGTCATCTGTCTGAATAAAATTTAAAATACTCAGCCCTTGACTTGCTGTGAAATTTGTGGTCTTCTCAAAACAGTTGCTCAATGAGGGAAGTGGAATCTTTCGTATTGTGTAAGTGAGGAAGTTAGTCTTATTCCAGATATTTTGAAAGGTATGTTCTACTGCAAATTGTAGCTGATAAGCATAAAAAAAGCATGTGTGTGTGTGTGGGAACAGATTTGTTTACTCTTTTATGTACATGCATCTGTAATGCAGACTTTGCCCAAATCGCATATACAAAAAAGCTCATGTAGAATCTGCATATGATGGTGTGCAGTCATGGCGACTGTGTGCACCAGTGATGGATGATGCATGAAATGGGGTTTTTGTGCACACTGTTGTAAATGGGCATGTAGATTATTTACAACTACTTTACTCAGTTTTAGATTTAGGGTGGGATATTCATAACTGCTCAGTGTGGGTCTAATTCTGTTTCTGTTGCACTCAGTAGTACACAATGAGCATTTTACCATCAGACCAGAGTTACACTGGCACTGAGCACTTATGAAAATCCCTCTTTTGAACCTTTGTTTTAAAAACTGCAACTAAATTGAGCATTAGAATATTGCTGCTTCTAATTATTTTTATTTACTAGCTTAGTTACAAGAGTAGGAGTGCTGCTGTTCACAACAAGAGCGCTTTATATGGAGATTGGCAAACCTTTCTGTAGTGGAGCATGTGAACTAGCAGCTAATGTGCAGTGGCCCTGATGTCTTCCGTGCTAGAAGCCAATAGCACCCTTTTGTGACCCCTACTTGTTATGTTCACAGGGTTGTGGGTTAATACATCTTAATGCAATTCAAAACAAGAAATGAAGTACTTGTGGGGAATTTCCATAGTGAAACCAATTTCTATTACATCTTAAGAAAAGAAGGCCAGGATAATCATTTTGGCTTCATATCCTGGCTATTCACAGCTCTGTGAAATAGTTAACACAGACAATTAGTAACCAACTGTGGCCTGCTGTCCGATGTACATAATAACCAGACAGAATCCCATGCAAATTAGAGGGGCTCCATTTGAGCGTACGGGCCTGTTTGTGTCAATCAGATAGCAGGATTGGGGCATATTTGGACAAAGCAGCTTTGAAAGCTCAGTGGGCCCAGTTTCTCTGCCAGATATACCATGACCTGTAGTATGCTTTTTGTTGAGGGTGGTGGCATAGATCTCTTTTGTTTGTTGTATACGTTTCAATTTGTATTACAGCATAACATTTAAGTTTCAAACTACTTGCAAAGTCCCATCCCAACTTTATTTTGGTATAAATGGGGCAAGCCCTTTTTTATTACAAGTGCAAGATGAAATTCTGCTTTTTTTGATGAAAAGAGAATGAGTCTCATGCTGACGAATTGAGTAAAACCTCCATGATGGTCCTCATTTCTCAAAGCCCTCACTTTAGCTCTATGTATTTGATGCTTCCTCTCAACTATCAGGCCTCGGAAGACTTTTTTAAGCAATGAGCGCACAGAAGACTTGCTTTTTGTACTTTGTTGGGAGTGATTGAATGTTTGAGAGCTATGTGATTAATAGTGGGTTTAGAATGTGAAGATGTTACTATGCCTTGTATTGCCTCAGTACCTATCTCTATCGATTTCTGCTGTATTGCTCGTGTAGTACGTTCTATCATCCTGTTTTGCTTATTTCGTTCAGCTGCATATCAGAAGTCTTCAGGGTTAGTTCTTATTGCAACAACTACAAAATTTTGATGTTTAACAGTGGGTGGGGCATATTTGTTTCTGTCAGTATCCAGTAACCAGAAATTCATAGGTCACATCTTCGTCTGAGTAATGACAGAGGTGAAGCAAATCAAGTCTTGGGAATTGTGGTGACCTAGATTACCTGGTTTACTGGGAACATACTAGACTAGACCCACAAGTCTGAAAACTTAATGGGTTGCTTTAAAACTAATTTATTAGATGAGAGCAGAACGTCTCTATGTACATAATGCAAGCTGCTTTGAGTAAATGCAGATTAAAATTGTTACAAATAGCATTGCTGTAGGCATCAATAAATGTAAAAGTTTAATAGAGCAGAAATGGGTGAAGAATGGATCAACAAGAAGAAAGATAGCAGAAAAGAACAGAACAGAACCAGCGATCAAGAGAAACGATGCCAGTAGAAAGTAAGCTTAAGGAGAAGTAGGGAGAAGGCATTAAAAACATTCAGGCATTCACAAAAAATGGTATGAAGGGGAAAAATCTGACTAGCTGGATTTATTTTGTCTGCAACACTAGAGAAGCAGACTTGGAATGGAGGTAGAAGTGAATGCATGTTGGTTTGACACCTTTTGGTTTAATTGTACTAGCTTGCGTTTGATATAGTTAGTACTTCATAGCTTTGTGTTGAGTTCAGAGTTGTGGTTTTCTATTATATATGTCTACATGTAAAGCCACTCCTGAGAAAAGAACAGCTTTTATTCTTCTTGCTCAAAAGAAGCTAAAACTCCCTACAACTTTTTTTGAGTGTCGTCTTTTGCAGATTTTTTTTCTTGGGTCATAATTTTCAGTGCTTACATGAAGGGATCATGGGTGGAAATGGTATAATTAATTAAAGACTAAGATACCACAAAGGGATCAGATTTGAAAGTTTTGTCTAATTCCTACATACGGGGTAAATGGGCCTTGATATGCTACACTTGGTTATTTACACTCATTGAAAGGAATAAATGGGTTGGGAGTACAAGATGTGTCCTATCCCGTAAACACAGGGTGACCAAATATTGATCCAAATTCATACAAGGGGAGTTACTGTAATGGGTGCTTTCTGCCCCACACTTTGGTTTTGTCTAAACACAAGAAATGGAGGGCCTTACATTTTTAGATGTACTATATTTAATCTTTGAACGTGTTTTGCTGTTACTTTCCATGCTTTATTATGTTACACGCAATGATGATGATAAACATCATATGAATTTATTTTTGTGCAATTTATGCAAGTATTCCGTTGTACTGAGTTCTGTTCTCTTCTTGATTTTTCAGATTGGTACAAAGGATACCTAGTAAGACACAAAGGGTTCGAGGTAAGGATGTAATTTACATTCTTGTAAGATTTTATGCTAAAAATAAACAACTTCACTTCTTGGTGTTAGTTTATTTCAGAGCTGTCAAAGAATCAAATCCTGATCAGTTAGCCCAACCACCTCATTCTGTTTTAATTCGGTGGGACTCTACATGGTGGGTAAGGTGAAAAGGATTTGACCTGAAATTTGTTCTTAAATATGAAGAGAAGAGAGGATTGTGTAAAACAGATCAAAGAGAAAAGAATGGCTGTGCCTCCAGGTCAAGAGCGCTGATGAAGATGTGACCTGAAATACTTGTTTAAAGTTAATTTATTGCGAAATTGTAAAATATTGTAAGTGCTTCAGCATTTGTTCCAAACATTCCTAAGCCCAGATTCAATATAAATTCCCATCAAGCTTCAAGTTATTGGCTAGGAATGACAGCACAAGTCTTAAACTGTAATTGTTTTGGTGTCTTGCGCATGTTTGTCAACATGGATGTCTCAGAGTTAGAATCTGAGCTCCCCAGTTAGCTTGTAGTTACTGTGTTAACTTAAACTTTCATTGTGTTATGAATTCAAACATAACACGTTTCAGTTATGACTTCCTGCAAGGTTAACTTGTCATTTGACATACTCAAGAACCTGAGTTCAGTAAAAAATACCTAGAGGTTTACTTGATTTGTATTGAATTTGTCACAGAGACCAAAAAGTTTATTTGGGGGTTTGAGTGGAGGATAACACAGATTTTTTTTTTTTTAAATAAGTCCACTATTCAGATAAAACACCATGCAGACTACTAGGGAGCAGTAGTCAATATCGCAAAGGAGATGTAATATTTGTAAATGTGATCAGCACTACCTGCAGATGTACGAAAGTCTCAGAACAGAGCTATCACAGAAAATGAATATATCCGAGAAGTAGGACATTCCTAGTGTCAGTAAAGTGATGTTTGGGTCATTTAATATAAATGCCTAACCAAAATCCATGGAGGACCTTCTTAACAGGGTCTAATTCTTGTCCTATTTTCACTGCTTTGAATAACCTGATCATTATGTTCTTAACAAGTTTCAAAACTACAGTCCCTAGGACGGGCATGTTTCAGTCACTGGAAACTAATTATGCTGTTAATACTTTCTGTGGATCCAGGTGCACACTAAAATGGCAAAAGCTATTATAAAGGAAATCCATAATCTTGTTAGTCTGGGGAAAGGGGACAAAAATCTTGTATAGCCACTCACAGGAGGATGCTTGAGGATCAGGGGATACTTTTAAAAAGTACAGAAGACAACTTAGCCCACCTGCCCCTGAACAGATTGATCCATGAATATAAGATTCAGCATTGAGCTTGCAGTTTCAGTCAATAGACCATCTTGATTGGGTGTTACTATGAAGTAAGTGTTTAGTCTATCATCTGTTGCTCTCCTTCATTTACTAGTTAAGTTTTTTAGTATTTGCCTTTGCGTCCGAATGCACCCACTTTTGGTCTAAATCTCACTTCATGTATCCTGAGTCTGCAGCTGGTTTAGCACACTTTCTTGTGACTTCTGGTCAAGGTAGTCTGTGGGCAGTAATTTTAGCTATTCTCAGGCAGGGGGAGCCATCAGCTACAATAAGATCAAACTTGAGCAGCATATATCTCTACCCTTGTTTCTTCAAATTTGCTGAGAACATTTTGCCCTGTGTTCAGATTAGAATATGTGAATGACTTAAACATTACTGCTGCTTGGCTCCGCCAGAACTGGAACAGATTTGCATCTTTGTTACCAGCTATTTACTTACTGCTCTGTGATGTGTTTACATGGACATAATTACAACTTTAATGTTCTTAGATTAAGCAAGGAACTGTTATCCAACAGGCATCTTGTAAATTGTTTTACAAATACCTAAAGAAAGAATCTTAAACTGAGAAATGAATTACTCAGTTGGCAGGTGAGATCCAAGTTGGCAGGTGAGATCCAAGTTAAAGGTATTGTATAAAACTTACCAGAGTCCTATAGGTTTGATTTTCTTTTATTAAAGTGCCCGTGGTGTCATGTTTTAAGCAAGTGAGTATCATAGACTCATAGACTCTGAGGTACATCTGCATTGTGATCATCTAATCTGACCTTCTGCACATAGCAGGCCACAGAACCTCACCCCCTCACTCCTGTAATAGACCCCTAACCTCTGGCTGAGTCACTTGAAGTCCTGTATCAGTTATGGTATCAGTGCAAATGATGTTTTCTTTATAAATATGTAGAATCTATTTATTTGTGTTCCATCTGAGCACTAAAAATAATAATGCTAATAGTAGACGTGTAGGGCACCTGACTCCCCTGCTGCCATTACTAGCTGTTGCAGGTACTATGGAGGGCCCTCCAATGCTCAGGTACTGTATCAAGAGCAGGAGGTGATGCCTGTTGGTGCAGTAGCAGCACCTCAGCAGAATCTTCATGAAGAGAATAGGTTGCTGTCTGCATGTGTGTTATCTAGATCAAGGTGAGAAAGCAGAGTCACTCCTCTTTCTCCCCATCCCCTCACACCCCCTGACATTTGAGCTGCTCCCTTTTTGAAGCTTCTCCTGCCTCAGGAGTTGCTGTTGAAATTGGTCCTTCATGCTGATAATGACTTAACAGACTAAAGTGAACCTGAAAATCTTGCTTTTAAAATATAGACCAGAACTAGCCACTTACTCATCCTTACCCTTTTTGAAATTCGGGTCAGTGAAAATTTTCTTCCAGATGCACTTGAACTATTTGCCTAAAATATTCTGAATTGGGCCAATAATGTTTCTTAAACAATTTGCAAGGTTTTTTTACTCTCTCCATTCTTTGAACTCTCTTGTTGAGCGTTATACCCCAAAAGAATTGTATATGGCTGTCTTTCTACCAAATGTTGTACAACTAATTCACCAAAATGTTCATATTAAAATGAATATTCATTAAGTTGGGGGGATATTGAACAGTATATTACACACTGCCACAGACTTGCTATCTGATGGGAGGGGTCCGTTTATCATAAGACATATATGTATAGAGGTGTCTAACTGAGCTTGCATGAGCTTAATGCTAGCACTTCCTAATATTTGAAACTGAGATCTCAACTTTCTTTAATGTAGATTTTTGTATGTAACCTACTTTGTAAATTCAGAAACCTGCAAAGTTAAGTGCGCTGGAGACTCCTCTACATAGTATTACGAGACCTTCCCAATGAAACAAAAGGGCTAAGAAACACTGATGAATGTATTCATCCTCCACCACCTTCAAAAAAGAGGTGAACTGTCAGGATGTACCCTGCAGAAGAGGCAGCAGATGAGATTCCGTTACTCAATATGTGTAGTACGACAATCAGGAGGGTAACAACTTCAGTTTCCAGCTTGAGCCAATCACTGGGCAAGAGAGCTGTGATATAGAAAGCCAGCACATCATCTTTGACTGACACATCAAATCTAGCCAAATATGTTCCAGAGGTTTAAAATTTAGTAAATCTCCAAGTTGAAATCTAGAGCGAGAGCCATTTGAAATTAAAGGGTGTTCCCAGGAAAGTCTGAAAGGCTTAATCTCTGGAACATATTAGGTTACATTTGATGTGTCAGTCACAGATGATGTGCTGGCTCTAATCCCTTCAAGTCCAAAGAAATCCTAGCTCTGTTACCATATCTAGGCATATCAGCAGCTTTGCTTGCTAACGTGAGGGAGATTTCTTCCTCGAAAGACCAAATTGAGAGTCAAAGGTTCCTTGAGGATAACATGCAAGAACTCAGTTGCCGCAGTGCCAGTATGTATCACATGAACTAACCTTGCCTACTCAGCAGTTGTCTGCAGAGATCAATTAACGATAAGAAAATCAAATCTGTTTTTTGAGAAAAATCCCTTGCTAGAGCATGTGCCAGGCACCTTGCTAGACATTACTGAAATCTCAGTTGTTTGTGGGCACATCTGGTTGTGGATGTAGAAGGCATATGGTCAGATTAAATGGCTTCCTTTATCCATAAAGTGTAAGGAAGGGACGCTCTTTCAGTTTCATTCAAGAAACCCTGCAGATTCCTCACAGCCTTAGCCCCATACTGTGAGCTCAACGTTTTGTAGGGTGGTAGGGACAGGCTATTTGTCACAAAAGCCATTTATTGGGCAGAGGTGATTGGGTCCACTATGTCATTGTCTTCCCTTCAGACTGTTGCTTCTTCACTTCAATGGAAGTGTCGATATATACTCTACCATTTCTATCGTCTGTTTCCCTCAGAACACTAACATTATTGATTTTGTCCAGATCATGTTTATAGATACATTTTAAATACTGAAGGGATCATTGTGATCATCTAGTTTGAGTGCTTGTATAACGTGAGCTACAGGACTTGCCTGAACTAGAGCATATTTTATAGAATTAATCCAATCTTGATGTTCCTATCAACATCCTTCCTGAATTGTGGACTTTAGATCTGAACACGTGATTCCACTAGCAGTTGCACCAGTGCCAAATACAGAGATAATATAGCCTTCCTACTCCTACTTGGGATGTCTGTGTTCATACATCCAAGGATCGCATTAGCTCTCTTGTGGCCACCGCATTGTACTGGGAGCTTGTGTTGAGCTGATTATCCATCATGAGAGCCAAGTCTTTTTCAAAGTCGGTGTGTCCTAGGATAAAGTCTTGTAAGGATGGTCTATTTTCTTTGTTCCTAGGGTCTGACTTTTTACATCTGTTGGTCTTAAAATGCATGTTGCCGGAGCCCTGCTTACCAAGTGATTCAGATTACTCTGTGTCAGTGACTCTTCATTATTTACCACTCCCCCAATCTTTGTCACCTGCAAGCTTTATCAGTAATTTGCTTTTTCTTCCAGGTCACTGATGAAAAGGTTAAATAGTGTAGGACCAAGAAGCAATCCCTTCAGGATTCCTCCCAAAACATACCAGCTTGATAATGATTCCCCTTTTAAGAAAGGCTATGCTGGGTAAGACCAATGGTCAATCTAGCCCAGTATCCAGTCTCTCACAGGGGCCAGTGCCAGATCCTGCAGAGGAAATGAACAGAAGAGTGGAATTTTGAGTGATCCATCTCTTGTCATCCAGTCCCAACTTCCAGTAGCTGGAAGTTTAGGGACACCTGGAGTATGGTATTGTGTCCCTGACCACCTTGGTTTACGATTAGAAAAATTAACATGACACACGGACTGGATTGAACACTGGCTAACTGACCTGTCTCGAAGTGTATCATTCTAGTTGAATCAAAATCTTGTACAGTACCAAGTCAATTGATTTTCATAAATCTAAGTATTCACTTCAGCACCATTACTTTTATCAACCAAACTTGTAATCTCTTAAAAATATCCAGTTGTAACCAAACAATATTTATCAAAGTTCCTATAAATAATGACTTGTTTACTTCCCAGAAGCCTTGTGAGTGTCTTGGGACGGAGGGGTGACTACAGATACTTACTTAGTGTCTTGCAGTAGGAAGCCTTTGGGGCACAGTAAAAATTGCAAACAACTGCCTTAAGGAGCAGCAGAATTGACGTATAAAGGGAAAATGTCCATTTATAGTACATCACCATTATGTGTGTACTTAAGGGGTCTATTTTATCTTATTGTTGCAAAAAGAGGGAGGTTGCAACAAAAGTACCACCAGGTATGTGTTTGAAGTATAAATAACTTTGGACCAAAACCCAGGGTTTGGTTGCCTAGTTGGAGGACTTCAAGGCACATTTATGCTCTGCTTTCTATGGTTAATAAACAGGGAAAATCACTATGGTAATGGAATGGTGTAGTGTTTTGGAATAACTTGAATTTATTGTTTTAAGAAACATTGGCGTAGAATGACAAATGTGTGTTGTTTTTGGTTTTGTTTCCAATAGGGAATATTTCCTAAATCTTTTATCCACATCAAAGAAGTTACTGTTGAAAAGAAAAGGTATTTCATTGTCACTGTTGCATTTGGTTAACTGACATTAATGAATTTTAGACTGCTTCTATCTAAAATGAAAGTAGATATCTACTTGGTACATGATTCTTCAGTTTATACTGGGCTTTTATTAATTGGGAAGGGGGAATGGAATGACTGAATTGTGAACACACTTGCAACCTCATTAAAAAGGAATAAAAATATTTGATTAGTTTTAACTACACAAGCTAAGAAGACAGAGAACGTAGGTATTAATTGTCATTTTATCTTACTAATGGATGGATCATCACTGTCTAAGAACTAAGTTCTAGGACATTAAGTGAGAAATATTTCACTGTTGGTTTGTTAGGTTTTAGTTATGTTAATTTGTCACTTTTTCCCCTCTCCTTAGAAATACAGAGAACATAGTACCTGCTGAAATTCCATTGGTGCAAGAAGTTACCACTACATTATGGGAATGGGGCAGCATTTGGAAACAACTCTATGTGGTGAGGGGAAGTTTTTGCCATGTTAGTTTTTCCAAATTAGATGGAAGATTGGTGAGAAAAATGCTTGATGCTATATTATGCATGTTAAATAGGCTTATTTATATATATCAAGCTGTCATTGTAATTGCCTTTGTTTTATTTTTGGAATACAAGGTGAGATTTGAGAGAAGATTTAATTAAGAAGTGATCTCTTCATCTGAGTATTTGGGTCAATACATTGTTCTCCAGTAGTATTAAAATAAAAGACATGGCTTGCAATTGTTGCTTAGAAGTAGTTGAACTTCATGCTATTAGATAATTAGTCTCCTGTGTCTGGCTCATTTTGCATAATATATTTGGCCTGTGCAGTATGTGCGCTTCAAGGAGGAGGAGGAAAGTAGATCAGGAAATGTTCAATAAACTTTTTTCGTCTGAAAATGGCAAATTGTCAAAACTGACACCTGTTTATTGGGAAGGTTTCTCTGGGCCAGGATAGAGCTTTTGCAGACATGGGGAGGATGAGATGGGGAGAGACCAGAATAGCCAATTTTTTAGGACACTCATTTTCGATTTTTGAGACCTCGATTCAAAACCCTCTTCTAAATATCCTCCAGAAAGGCAGCCAGTCTCCACCTTGCCAACAATTCATTCTTGTTATGCCTCTTTGTTATATTGAAGAGCACTTTTTTAGCATTCAGTGTTTTTCCCTCTGCCCCAGTGATGGTACTTGGACTTTGGCAGGAGACTTGATTAATCTCCTTTTTGGTAAACTAAACAGATTAAATTGCTCAGAGTAGGGCATTGTCTGCAGTCTTTGAATAGTTTTTGTGGCTCTTCTTTGCACCCTCTCCAGTTTTGCACTTTAAAATTAAGGTGGACACCAGAACTGTATGCAGTATTTTGATATTGGTCTAACCAGTGCGGTATACAGATGTAATATCACCTCCCTTATTCCAGTTTTCTAGCTGGGGCTTTCTTCTCCTGCAGAATTAGCACCCTTTAAATAACACTGTAAAATGCACAAAACAAAACTACTCCCAACCTCCATCCAATCACACAATTACCATCCCCGGGCTTTGAACCCTTAGCAATGTAGAGGTTAAACTATTTTGAATTGAATGCCTAGTATACAATGAAGGACAATGTAGGAAGCTGAAATGAAACCAAGCCCTAAATGTGAACATTTTGTATTTCAGGCAAACAAAAAAGAGCGGTTCCGGCAGGTGCAATCTATGATGTACGACCTAATGGAGTGGAGGTCACAGCTTCTGTCGGGAACACTGCCCAAAGATGAACTGAAAGAACTCAAACAGAAAGTCACGTCCAAAATTGACTATGGCAACAAGTACGTTTTTCCTTGTGCTAAACGAGTACTGGGAACAGCTCCTTTATTTTCAGACATGTCACTGGTATAGAGTTGGGGGCAATTTTTCCCTGCTTCTATGTCCCTAGCTTGCGAATATTGGGTACCTACCCATCCTTTTTGGCAGACCACTCCACTACGATCCCTGCTGCAGCAGCAGCAGACTCCATGTTCCCTTGCAGTCATGGTCACCCTTTCTTGAACAGGGCCATCCAGAATTTTCAGCTGCTCCCCTATTTGGAATCAAACATTTCAGGATGCATGATCTCTGTTGCTTATGCAGACACACAGGCATATTAGAAGGATCAGTTCTAGGTTGGGCAGATTTCACTCCTATTCATATCCACTTAATATATTCAATCTTAACATGTTCACACATGCCTCACAAACAAAGGCAAGCTCCAGGCCCATACAAGATACCTGGTGGTTGTAATACCATGCTGCCACCTGAACAAAGGTGCTGAAATGCGATGGTCATAGGTAAAATATAAGAACCTGAAGTGAACAAAATCCTGATGAAGATGATGAGAGAAAAAAATAATTTGAAGTTTCCAGGCCAAGCCCATTAAGATTGAGTCTGTTTGAGAATCTGGTAATACAAGTGAAATATCTGTGGGTTTGATGGTAGCTTCACTCATATTTTGATTGCTTCTCACTGATGCAGAGTCACCACAGCATAGCTCAACTGGCAAGCACAGGGCAATACAGGGGCAGAGCTGAGTGGTGTTGCATTGCCTGAGATGCGAGTGAGAGCTTTGCAAACCAGTTTCCACTGTTCGGTGGCAGACTTTTTGCCTCTGTCCATTACTTGTACCTTGAACTGTTGCAAATGGCTCTGGTAGTGGCAGTTCCAGGGTCTGTGTATGATTGAACATCATGGGTTGTCTGTGGCCTGCATTTACTGTAACTTACACAGCCGACACTAGGTGACAGGGAAGTGTGTACCTAGCCTACAGTGATTGTACCCACAGAATCAGGGATTAAATTTCCCTCTGGTTCAGATGGGGGAAAGCTATTTTTTGTAGGGAAAGAGGTGGTTTGCTTTTACTCATGGTAGCTTGTTTTCATTTATGGAGTGAGACACCTGTTCTGATTCAGACACTGCTGGTTACCACTGTACCATGTTTCTGCTGAGTCTACCCACGAGCTTACGTGGGTGTAGCTCTTAATATAAACATATTCAGCAGTTTTCTACTTAGGTCTGAACATGTTAGTTTGGGGAGTTTACATGGAGCTGGATCATCTGAGATACAATGTTGCATAACAAAGGTTTCAAATTGATGAATAATGGGTTTAATGATCCCTGGGGGAAAATTGTGCATTCACAAGGCTTGAGTAAACTACACAAAAGTACAAAGCATGAGTAATTAATGTATGAATCAGACATTTTCACAAATGTATCTGTGAGCTCTGATTTAATTCAGAGGAAAGTTTTTTTTTCAATTGATATCTTTCAGTTGCTTTTGTCAAAATAGATGGTAGTGTTTTATGTTGACATTAACTGAATTATTAAATGGAGCTCTTAAGACCCCGCCCCCACTCCAGCTTCAAATCCTCTACCATCTGTAGACTCAACAGAAACATGATGCAGGTGCAGAGAGAATATTTTCTTCTTTTCAGTCTGTTTAGCTAGTTCAGTTCAATGACTTGTTCATTCAAAGTTAAGAAACCAACTGGAAGTTGAAAAAGCAGGAAAGCTTGTTTTCTTCTTACAATATATGAATAAATACTAGGTGTGAGAGGATGACATCTAATGGTTTTAAAATCTTGAAGGACATGGTGACCAGACACTGAGTTCAATTCATTAACTCAAGGTAATAATTCCTTTGTATAACCATTTTTAAATGAAAAACATGTTTAAGAAAAAATTACTAAACTATCTAGCACTCTTATGATAGTTTTACTTAACATTTAAAAATGTTTTTTTACATTTTAATTGAATTCGCATTTCCATCCAAATAGAGCTTAACACAAATCACAAGGAAGAGATTAAATCATTTAATAAATAAGAAATTCACCATTCACCATTGTTTAACATAATAAAAATGTAAAAAAAAAGCATCTGAATAAAATAAGGTAAGCTATACAGTTGCCTAAATAAATGTGTATAGATATAGTGTGTTGTCCTGGTTAGCAAAAAGAAGCATCAAATGTAGTGTAAAGACTGAAAGAATCAACCTTTCCTTTGGAAAATAACTAAAAAGTACAAACGCAAAAGTTGATTAAAATCAATAATTTAAATCAGGGTTCCCTGCTTGCTGATTGAAATCACGATGACAATTGATAATTTAATGGCTTGAATTTAAATCTGTTGGCCCTGGGGGAGGCTTAGGTGTTGGGGGTGGAGGGTGTCAGTCTGAGGGGGGCAGTGCGGAATTGTTGTGGGCACAAAAGAGGAGTGAGGAGGTGCTGGGGCAGAATGGGTCACCTGGGGAGTTGCTGGGGTACCAGAAGAAAAGTGCTGGGGCACAGATTCCTTGTTCGTTCCAAGGAGAGCAGGGCTCTAAGAACAAGCTAGAAATTGGAAGGGGGCAGACTTCAGTATATGGAAGACACACCCTATGGTGAGGTGCGTGGAGTCTTGAGAGAGTGAGACCCTGAGTAGAGAAAGAGGGAGACAGTCTGGTGGAGGGGAGAGTCAGTGGGTAAGGGATCTGGAGAGGAGGAGGAGAGTCCCAAGACTATCATGGAAGGACCAAGGAGAATGGAGAGGGTGGGAAATGTTTGGCAGAGGAATGGAATTTGGCAGAAAGGGCTGAAGCCAAATGGAGCACACTGAGAGGGTGGAACAGGGTGACATGAAATTGGAGGGGACAGACAGAGATACTTCATCACTCTACTGGGGAAGGTTTATACCCTAATAAGGAAGAAGAGGCAAAGTCTTCATGAAATCTACTAGTGGTTTGGCTGTTGCTCAATTTTACATGATAGGCACTTGGACACTATAGGGGTAGGTGGCAGTATAAAACCCTAATATGGGTCTGTAAAGGGAAAACCAAAGCTTGAAAAAAACTATGGGGAAAGATTTCTTTTTTTTCTTGATAAGTATCTTCAACAAAACAGTGTCATCAGATGTATTACTTAAATTATATATGTCCTCCTTGTTTTATTAGACTGAACTGACTGCTTCAACATTCCAAACAGCTTATTATGAATCCAATTTCAAAGACCGTCAGTTGAATATAATTTGTTCTAGAAGAAAATAATCATGTCTTATGGAGTGCTTCTTTTTTAATCTCTACAGGATACTTGAGCTAGATCTAATAGTTAGAGATGAAGATGGAAATATCTTGGATCCAGATAAAACCAGCGTCATTAGCCTATTTCATGCACATGAAGAAGCTACTAATAAAATTACAGAGCGAATTAAAGAAGAAATGGTATGAACAATTTGCCAAAATTGGCCCTTCCTTTCAGAAAGTGTTAATTTAGTTTACAAGGTGTTATCTGTTTGTTTAAACTTGATCCTTCTCCCAGTAAAACCAATGGAAGTTTTGCCACTGATTTAAAGGAGCAGTTTCTGATCCCTAGTTGATAAATATGGAACATGTCACCTCAGCTGTAAATATTTACTTTGTTTTACCAGACTTTGTCAAAATTTGCCTAACAGTGACTTCAGCAAGTTTCTCCATGCATTGAATAAGATGAAAAAGTGCAACTGTTGGTCTAACCCAACAACTGAAGAATAGACATGAGTGTTAGTGACTGGAACTGGATTAAATACATGGGCCAAGATATCAAAACTCAGTGCCTAAAATAAGATTCTCAAATGAATGGCAAGGCTCCGATGTGGTCTGACTTCCACAACTGCTGGTTTGTAGAATTAGAACATAAGAACTGCCATACTGGGTCAGACCAAAGGTCCATCTAGCTTAGTATCCTGTCTTCTGACAGTGGCCAATGCCAGGTGCCCCAGAGGGAATGAACAGAACAGGTAATCATCAAGTTATCCATTCCCTGTCACCCATTCCCAGCTTCTGGCAAACAGAGGCTAGGGACACCATCCCTGCCCATCCTGGTTAATAGCCATTGATGGACCTATCCTTTATGAATTTATCTAGTTCTTTTTTGAATGCTGTTATAGTCTTGGCCTTCACAACATCCTCTGGCAAGGAGTTCCACAGGTTGACTGTGCATTGTGTGAAAAAATGCTTCCTTTTGTTTGTTTTAAACTGCTGCCTATTAATTTCATTTGGTGGTCCCTAGTTCTTGTGTTATGAGAAGGAGTAAATAACACTTTCTTATTTACTTTCTCCACACCTGTCATGTTTTTTATAGACCTCTATCATATTCTCCCTTTGTCATCTCTTTTCCAAACTGAAAAGTCCCAGTCTTATTAATCTCTCCTCAGACGGCAGTTGTTCCATACCCCTAATAATTTCTGTTGCCCTTTTCTGAACCTTTTCCAAGTCCAATATATCTTTTTTGAGAGGGGGCGACCACATCTGCATGCAGTATTCAAGATGTGGGCGTACCATGGATTTATATAGAGGCAATATGATATTTTCTGTCTTATTATCTATCCCTTTTTTAATGATTCACAACATTCTATTTGCTTTTTTTGACTGCCATGCACATTGAGTGGATATTTTCAGAGAACTATCCACAATGACTCTCATATCTTTCTTGAGTGGTAACAGCTAATTTAGACCCCATCATTTTATATGTATACTTGGGATTATGTTTTCCAATATGCAATGTGTTTTTCAGTTGCTGCTCCTATTGAATTTTGGCCACTTACCTGGGATTTAGGAGCTTTATTTAGGTACCAAGTCTTGAAAATACTGGTCATGGGATATAAGCTACTGCCAGTTAGTTGGTCTGACTGAGCCAAAAGGTTTAATGCGTATGAGAGAGGAAGTTGGTAAATTTAACAACTCTTGGTATGCTTGCTGATGATGTCAAGGTCTAAATGATCAGAGCACACAAATAATTTGCAGTCACATTTTAAAACATGGTTCACATGATTACACTTCATTGTCTTTATAAATATTAAATGTATCCTGAGAACTATCAAGTGATGTAAGGTTTGGGCCTTTTTTGCTTATTAATCACAATGTAAATAAAATGAGGCATATGTTAAAGAAGAAAAAAACGTTTGAGTGAGTTATGAAATCTCCAAATCATGACTACTGTGAATAATGTATCATAAATCAGTATTTAACACCACATGCCTTGTTGTCAGTTAGAAGCTCAGTTGAACAAACAATGCTCCCCAAATATGGAAGGGTCATCACTAAGCGATACAAGACAGATTAAAGCCCTGCTAACCTGAGTCACTTCTAGAGAATTGTATTGTATTTTTTCTTTAAACATGTAGTGTTGCAAGGTGCAAACACTGATTAAAACATCAGAGGGACTCATATATACTTACTTTAAGGACAGTCCAGGAACAGATTCGCTGCTCATCACCTTGTTCATACAGGCTGTGTATGTGTGTGAACTTCTTATGTACCACCCAGCATCTTAGGAACGTTTGGAGCAGTGGTTAGGTGCTAGAAAAGATTGTAAAGTGTGATAAATGTTTTAGGCTAAATTCTACCCTACTATGTTGCTTAAATTGAGAGCAGAACTGGGCCATTTTCAGATGAACCTTGAGTATAGAGCAGTAAGTGCAGGTCTTGCTGGCATTCAAATTAGTTTGGTCTAATAATTTTCCTCCTGTGTGTAGTCAAAGGATCAACCGGACTATGGAACGTACTCCCGAATCTCCTCATCCCCCACTTACAGCCTTTACGTCTTTGTAAGAAACTTTGTATGCCGAATAGGAGAGGATGCAGAACTCTTCATGTCATTATATGATCCCCAGAAACATACAGTTATAAGGTAGGCTATATTATTTTCCCCTGGAGAATGAATAGTAAAATGAGTTGGTCAAACTGGAGGGGCCAATGCACACACAAAGGGGAAAACTGTACAAGAAAGTTTTTTAAAGGAAAAACCACATGCACTTCTGGAATCTAGTGATGCTAGGCTGGCGTATTGTGTAATAGCAAACAACTAAACTATATTGAGAGCAAATGGACCAGATTGTCTTGGCTTGAGTGTGCTTTGAAATCTTAAGTGACTGCTGATATTGCTTCAAAGCTGACTGATTTCTGTATTGTGTGGGATTTCTTGAGCAAAGATTAATGAAATGTTAAGTCAGTTTGTTTAGAGTTTGTTCAGTCTTCGTTTGGAATAAACTATTTGCAGTCAATGTAGCAAGTGAGGCATCAAATTTTGTGAGTTCTGTATGACTGGTCTAAGTCCAGTCTTAACCACTCAATCAAAACAGTAACACATTTGGGCAGAAGCTGAGCTGATTGTTCAAATTTGTAGAAAAAATAAAAGTCAAGGTCACTGTTATCGCTGGTAGGCAGACAACCTCGAGGCAGCTACAGAGATTCAGTAGATGGACAGTTCGCTGCTGTGAAAAATGTTCCTTTGTCTCATTGCCAAAATAGAAGCTTTTACAACAGGCAATGGAGAATACAAACATCTGACCATCAGCAGCTAAAATGTGTTTGATTATGAAAGTTTCCATCACCTTGACTACCAGTGCCTAGGTGATTAGTATGGAAGAAATTCTATTGCTGGGGAAAGCAGGGGATTATGTTTATATGTTGGACCATATAGGAGAGTCAAATAATACTGGATTTCAGGATTAGGACTGGAGCAGTAGAACGCATACATAAGACGTACACACATGCTCCCTTTCTATTGAGCAATTCTTATATTTGGATTATAAATTTAATCTGACAAATTCTCAGATTTGAAGGTTGCTGTATTGGATTCATTCTTTGACGAGTTGTATGCTTTTGGGAAGAAGTTTGACAAAACTAGTAATTTGCTGTAAACTTGCATAAGGACACTTTCTCCTTTCCTTTCCAGCAAACAATGGGTAAAATTTAAAAGGGGCAAATCCCTAAATGCTGGAGTCTGGTGCAGGGGAATCCAGTAGAGTTCCAGCTCTTTGCCCTTGAGATCTTGGCCTTTGTGGCTTTGTAGTGGTGCACTCTGGGCAAGGCCTTCTGCTGCTACAGAGAAGGCGAGAGGGTGGTGGTTGTTGGTAATGGGATAGCACCTTTAGGCCCCTCTGTGCTAGGCGCTGTAAACGCATGTAATAAAGAAGACAGCCTCTAATGCCAACGAGCTCACTGACCAGGCACATGGGGCAACAGGAGGTGAAAACAAACAAATGGGGGCTGAGAGGAGAAAAAAGAAGCACTGAAACTATTATTTTAAGTATAATAAACTGCAGTCATAAGACACTCTCTCGCTAGTCACTGTTCAGAAATTAGTAGGTATTGCAACCAGGTAAATTCAAGGAGAACAATGTAGTAGCATTGCCATTTTTTCATTTGGGATTTGTTCCCTATTGGTGGAGTCAGTCATGATTGGCAGGTTTTCAATTACGTGATTTTTCTTAATGTTGTGTAAAAGAAGCTTCAAACTTCAGCTGTATCATTTACTAAACTGAGATCCTGAAGAAAAGTTATTGTGGGCCGTGAAAATGAAAGGACAGAAGCTAGTTATGTTTTGAGAGCAAAATCCATCTCTAAGTGTTATATAGATGGCTACCAGTCAAGCTCTTGAAGCTAAATAAACTGGTGCACATTTCTGATCAGCAAGGCGCCCAAAACACACGTTTGTACTAGATATTGGTGGCTGAGGGGTTATATCCCAATGTATGTAATTTTCATTGACATGTAACTCTGGGGGAAGGAGGACAACAGAAACTTTGTATTTGAAAAATAGTACAAAGGGAGTGTTAATTTCCCAATTGATATTTTGTAAATTTCTGTTCAGTATATTTCTTTGACATGATTGCTTGTGGCTAATAAAATGAGCAAATTGCCATTTGACCTGATATAAGTGTGGTGCTACTCTGTGGACAGTGTGTAACAGACAATAGCTTCTATTATGTATGCAGTGTTGTTTTAGTCATGTCAGTCCCAGGATATTAGAGAGATAAGGTGAGTGAAGTAATCTCTTGTACTGGACCAACTTCTGTTTGGTGAAACAGACAAGCTTTTGAGGTTACCCAGAGCTCCTTTTCAGGTCTGGGAAACATTCTGAGTGTCAAAGCTAAATACAAGGTGGAGCAGATTGTTTAGCATAAGTAGGTAATTCATATTTCAAGGGACCATTCAAGATGAAGTGGCCCAATAACACTCTTCCATTCGTTGGGAGGGGGTAAGGAAGCTGAGGGGGTTGTAAGTGGGTTATAGATCACTGTAATAAGTCATAAATCCAGTGTCCATAGTCAGTCCACAACTTTTAGGGGCCAGCAAAGTTAGGAATTGTAGCTTCCTTTGGCATTTTGTTCAAGATAGATCAGGGATACCTCCAGAATTGCCTGTGATAAGAGTGAGGAGTCTTAAAATGATGATCAGATTCAGATTTTACTTCCTACCAGCTATATACATTGCTCTGAAGTGGACCCCTTCCCACTTTAATTTAGACCTCAGTTGATCATGGTGGCATTAACAGAGGTTACTGTTATGCAGCCATACCATGGAGGAGACAGACCAGTTTGATATTTGGTTCTTCCTCTGAATGAAATAGCCGCTATGCTTCTTGGTGAACATTTTGTGCTTAATGGGTGTTACTCGAGCAGTGCTTTTTAACTTACTATATTTTTGTTGGGCTTAACTCTATTAACGTCTCAATGGTTGTTATGCCTGGAATAAAATGCTCAGAGAAATTTAGAATTGTAGCATTGTGAGATTTAAGAGTCTGAAAAGTGGTCCTGTTAGGACAACTGCCATCTAGGTGAACTACATACATGTTGAATTGCTTACCTCCAAAATGTTACCATGCTGTATTCTATTATATTGAATTTATTTTTAAATCTATCTTACATATGATTCTTTTTGTAGTTTCTATTATATTTATGTATCATAATTCTCCTTTCATTGTGGTGGTTTCTCTGTCTGTCTTAGTCTTATTGTGTTCTTCTCAAACAGCCAAATTTTAACAAAAATCATCCTGGATAAGATTTCAGTATTAAAGATGGAGCCAAATCCGGCTCACCTTAGACAAGCAACAAGCCATTTGCTTCAATTGACTATTGATGTGAGTAAGGTGAACTGGTGTTTTGGTCTTGTAAAGAATTGTCTTTGAGCATTCATCTTGAATTCAGTCACTCTGTAATAAAGAATGACTAAACATTAATTTTGGTTATGTTTTGCTGTTGACTTTGGCTCTCTGAGAACAAGAAAATTAGCCTTACTTTAGCCAATACCTTATTCAGCAAGCAGTAAGTTAAAAATGTCAAGGTAATGGAGAAGAGCATAACAAGAACCAATGGCTGGAAGTTAAACAGACAAATTCAAGTCAGAAATAAGGCAGAATTTTTTATTCCAATGGTTAATCACCCTCACTGTTACACTACCGAGAAAAGTGGTGGGTTCTCCATCTCTTGATATCGTCATATCAGGGCTTGGATACTTTTCTGGATGATATGTTTTAGCCAAAACAAGTTACTGGGCTCAATACAAGAGAAACAATAAGAAATCCTATTGCTAGTATTATTCATGAAGTTGTACAAAGATGATCGAATGGTCCCTTTTGGCCTTAAAAATGTAAGACTGTAACTGGTGGTAGATTTTTGTGTGTATGTAAGGAGAATTGGTTTTAGAAATATTTTGTTTCATTTTGATGGAGTTTTGTACTATTTGTAGGGTTGAAGGCCAGAAGGAACCATTACTTCACTAGTCTGACCTCATGTATTTCACAGGCCATTAAATTTTACCCAGATACCTTGTATTGAGTCCAATACACTTTAGTCAAACAAGTATCAGAGGGGTAGCCATGTTAGTCTGGATCTGTAAAAAGCAACAAAGAGTCCTGTGGCACCTTATAGACTAACAGATGTATTGGAGCATAAGCTTTTGTGAGTGAATACCCACTTCATCAGATGTAGCTTATGCTCCAATACATCTGTTAGTCTATAACAGGGGTCCGCAACCTCTGGCATGCGGCTCGCCAGGGTAAGCACCCTGGCAGGCTGGGCCAGTTTGTTTACCTGCCACGTCGGCAGGTTCGGCCGATCACGGCTCCCACTGGCCGCGGTTCGCCGTCCCAGGCCAATGGGGGCTGTGGGAAGTGGCGCGGGCAAGGGATGTGCTGGCCGCGGCTTCCCACCACCCTCATTGACCTGGGACGGCCAGTGGGAGCCGCGATCGGCCGAACCTGCCGATGCGGCAGATAAACAAACTGGCCTGGCCCGCCAGGGTGCTTACCTTGGTGAGCCGCGTGCCAGAGGTTGCTGACCCCTGGTCTATAAGGTGCCACAGGACTCTTTGTTGCTTTTTTAGTCAAACAAGTTATCTTCCAGAAAGGCATTCAGTCCTGATCTGAAGAAGACTTCAATCTATCCAGAATTCACCACTTCTCTTGGTAGTTCATTCCAAGGGTAATTTGAGGTGGTTAAAAAAAGTGTAATCATAATTACTTCGTTGAAGTAGACTTACTCCATGGAAGATGAAGTTCATTTCTTTGTTTTGGCTTTCAAATGAGAGGTGCTTTCCCTTGGACGGGGTGGCTCCAGGCACCAGCGCAGCAAGCACGTGCCTGGGGAGGCAAGCCACAGGGGGTGGCCTGCTGGCCTCTGTGAGGGCGGCAGTCAGGCGGCCTTCGGCGGCATACCTGTAGGAGGTCCGCCGGTTCCGCGGTTTCGGCGGCAATTCGGCGGTGGGTACGCCAAAGCCGTGGGACTGGCAGATCACCCGCAGAAACGCTGCCGAATCTGCGTGACCGCGGAATGCCCGCAGACATGCCGTCGAAAGCCGCCTGACTGCCATGCTTGGGGCAGCAAAAAACATAGAGCTGTCCCTGCCCTTGGATATTTCCATCTGCTCTGAAGCAGACATATGGCCTTCTGCGCTTATGCAGTCTTGGGAGGTTGGCGGATGTACTGTGATGGATTGGGCTTCTACATTGTTTTTTATTCATGCATTGTTGCAAGAAGTGAGAGATACTAGTTACTTTTTGGTACGTGTGCAGGAGCTGGACTTGTAAACATAAACCTACAACATATTTTGACAAATGATTAAGTCTTCTGTGTTTTAAGCTTATACATTCAAATAGTGAAAAAAAATAAAAATTGATAATATTGGGCTGATAAAGTTTTCATATTTACTCAGATAAAATAGAAATGGATTTTTTTTTGCTTTGTCTTTTAAAATGATTTTGGATCCCTGTTTTTGGGCACAAAAATGGGAACACAATATTTTCTTTGGGATATGTACTTAGGAAAAAACTTTCAGTGACTGGAACAATGCCAAGAGTGGGGGGAAATGGTCAAATCATGCATTATGAATCTAAAGATGTGGTACTGTATGGTATTCACCTATGTGTTGTGTGTTAAGCAGTACTACAGTACTTAATGACACATGGTGAAGAATTCTGTTAAATGATATTAACAAATTATTACTTTCTCTCTTTAAACAGTGAAAATTACTTGGTGAGATGGGGGAGTAAAGGTTTTCCAAAGGAGATTGATATGCTCAACAATCTGAAAGTGGTGTTCACTGTGAGTAAACAGTCTTCATATTTGACTAGATTTTGAACTTGCAAATAGGATTCTCATTGCTAATGGTCACTCCCAGAATTTTTTTACATGTTGTGGGAAGCCTTGAATGAGCTCAGAAAGGAAGTTAGTCTGAGTAATTAAATGGAGAGGAGCACTTGTCAACTAACTCTGTTTGGTCCTGAGTTCACCTCCTGCTATGTCATGTTTGATTAACTTGTCTTACTACTTAAATGATTTTCCCTTCAAGTCCAATTAAGTTGGCTCATTACAAGTAATAATTTTAAGGTGGAGAATGTTTGTGCACTCTGCTTATGGTTAGATTAGCAAAAGGGTATATGAATGACGTAGTAGGACAGACAAATTATTTAGATGAAGCTGTTTGGCATTTATTCATGTCTCTGATTTGTCAAATTATTTGGCAAAAGTTAATGTTCATACCATTACTGATGCAAATATCAAAATCCAGTAGAATTTCATTACTAAACCTGTAGACAGATGTTGTATAATAAGCAGGGGGATGTAGATATCAATCAGGCATTCATCTTGCAGAACAGTAACCAGTGATTCATACTATAAATATATAAAGAGATGAAGACATCACTAAATCGGTGTCACTGAATATTAATGAGAAAATTATCTAACCACCCTGGGGACCAACATAGTGACTTTGTTTCCCCAATCAAATGAACCTGAGGAACCTTGGAAGATCCTTCATATTTGGAAATTCTCCTTACAAGGTTAATGGGAACTTACTAAAAATGATAAACAACCATGCATATATGAGTAAATTATTTTCAGTGTAATGTTAAGAGTGTAAACTACATAATGTTCATAAATACTCAGAGGTGAAAATAAGTGCTGGATGATGCAGTTGTGGGAGGAGAGAATTTCTGCAATTTTTTGTCTACTTTTAGAACCACATAATTTTGAGGCTCTATAATGTCTCTTCCAAGTGTGTCTCTAGTCTATTGAGAGAGCTGCTGCTCAAACCCTAATTCAGTATCATAACTTGAAGCTGGGGTTAAGGCCAGCTTCACTCAGCAAAACATTTAAGTACCCATGATTAACTTTAATGGGGCCTAATGTGCTTAAAGTGATGTTGAAAGTCATATTGAACAGATTGAAGCCACAAGCGGAGAATATTATCGATGAAGAACAGGCTAGCTTTCATGCTGGAAGAAGTACCACAGAACAGATTTTCAGCCTTCATGTGGCATGAAGCTCGCTGGTCAACCATGAAGAAGTACAATGTTGGTTGTAAGCTTATTCTTACCATTAAACAACTGTATGCCAAGGCCAGCAGTGCAGTTCTCGTCAATGGCACAGTAGGAGAGTGGTTTTGCACCACTGTTGGAGTCTGGCAAGGCTGCCTTCTTTTGCCCACACTGTTCAACATCTGCTTGGAGCGCATAATGACTGATGCCCTAGAGGATCACATATGCACAGTCAGTATTGGGGGGCGAATAATCTAAAATCTTCGGTTCACTGATGACATTGATGGCCTGGCAGGCAGTGATGATGAACTTGCCAACCTTGTGAAATGATTGGATGAAACCTCTGCAAAATACGGCATGGAAATCAGTGCAGATAAAACTAAGCTGATGACAAAACAGCAAAAACAACGAGGAGTCCTTGTGGCACCTTAGAGACTAACAAATTTACTTCAGCATAAGCTTTCGTAGGCTAAAACCCATTTCATCATCTCTAAGGTGCCACAAGGACTCCTCATTGTTTTTGCTGATACAGACTAACATGGCTACCACCCTGAAACATATCAGTCAGTGGAGAAGAGCTGGAGACAGTGAAACAGTTCAAGTATTTCACTGATGAAAGATCAAAGGCAGAAATTCTGGCAAGAACTATGCAAACAACAGCAGCAGCGGCAAAGCTAAAGCCATTTTGGAGGAATAAGAACATCTCCCTAAAATCCAAACTGAAACTGCTGCATGCATTGGTCATCTCCGTTTTTCTACATGCGCGTGAGACGTGGACCCTTATGGCAAAACTTGAATGGAAAATACAGGTGGTAGAGATGATATACTTCCGTAAAACTCTGGGCATCTCCTACTTCAACCATGTCACTAATGAAGAGGTCCACAACATCATCACTCAATGCACTGGGTCACATGAAGACCTCCTGACGACCGTGAAGAAGCGCAAGCTGAAGTGGTACGGCCATGTAACAAGATCATCTGGCCTATCCAAGATCATCCTCCAAGGGACAGTACAGGGGAAGAGAAGAAGAGGTAGACAGAAGAAGAGATGGATTGACAACATAAAAGAATGGACATGAATGGACTTCGCAGAGACTCAAGCACTGACACACAGTTGTCAGGGGTGGAGACAATTGGTTGCTCATCAATGATGGTGCCAGGAGTAGCTAAGATTTAGTTGGGGTATTTATAATAAATGCCATGGACAGGTCACGGGACGTGAATTTTTGTTTATTGCCTGTGACCTGTCCATGATGTTTACTAAAAATACCCCAGCTAAATCTTAGCCTTGATTATTGACAACTGAAAAAGTTTGACACAGAATTAAACTATTTCAATGCAAGCATGAAACTTCTAGGGAGCAGAAAGAATGGCTGAGATCTCCTAAAATTATGGGAGCTGTAGCTTTTCCATTCTTGTAGTGTTCTCCTTGTTTCTGATGTTAACGCAATGATTTTGCTGCATTCAAATGACATATTATTGCTCATGCAAATAACCCCTGATTTCAGGGAAGGACTGGGCTTCCAGAGCTTTCTAGACTAGAAAGTTCTGATAATTACACTGTGATGTCATAAAGGGAGCTGGCCTTTTAGGGAAGGCAGAAAACTTTGCAGATGACTCTGACCATGCTTAATGATTTTATTTTCAGTTGGGTATACATTCCCAACTCCCTGTCCCAATTTTTTTTTCCAAACTTGCCTTGGATATGCTTCTAAATTGGAACTGGTTACATGTGGAGTTTCCATCCAGTGATTGGTAAGTCAGAGATGTCATATTTGGAGAAGAAAAAAGAAAGTGGATATTTTTTCCCCACTTTTGTAGAACTGAAAAATGGCTGAAGAGATTTGGCTTTAAAATGTTAGCTATGGACCAAAAACATGAAACTTTCAAACCAAAAATGACTTCATGAAAACTTGCTGTGTGTGAGACACAGGGGAACAAGGATATAAATTCAAATCTTTTATAATCCTAATGATATTAGTTGCTACCAGGCAACCACTAAACAATAACTGTATCCTCTCCTTTCCTGTTGTAAGTGGAAGTGCAAGAAATCTAATGACGGAGTCTGTCCTCACAATATATCCCCAGTCTTGAAGATTCAGGATGTTTGCATGAGCTTTCAAGCTCTTGGATGATTATCCTACACGGTTTCTGAAACTTTACTGACTTGCAGTTTTGTGCTGTGCTGTGAGGATAATTTTTTTAGCTTTCAGTAACATTAGAATACATTGCAAAGATTGCTAATCTCATCAGAAGCAACAACTTTACGTTCCATTTCTGACTGAACTCCCAAATTGCAGTCAGGCTGTTTCTCTGGATGTGGGCCAAAATACCATGATAAATACTTCTTTACAACCTTGTGAGTTGACTACTTAAATGCATGTAGTAAATTAAACCATACATTAGCTTTATTGTAATTGTAAATTAAAGCTTAAATTAAATCAGCTCAAACTGATGATGGTGCAAATATTTGACTGGTTATTATGCATCATGAGCACATAACACCAATGCTCCAGAAACAGTGTGGTTTGCTTATTATTTCTGGCAGAGTTTGAGTTGCTGTTGACCTAGAAAGCCCTAAATGTTTTGGAGACTCTCTGCTGGGGACTGCCTCTCCCCCATGTAATATTGCCACAACTGGGATCAGTGGAGATCTTCAGTCCTGAGTCTCATTAGATGAAAGGAGAGGGACTTGAGATCACTCTTCCCATGCCCCTGGATCTGAAATTAGCCCATATTCACTCACCTTCAGGGAACACTGCAGAGCCCATCTATTTGCTCAGACACTTGAGGAGGCTTGAGTTGTCTGGGCTTTTGGGGTAGAGGTCTTAAGGAAGATGATTATTCGTGTAACTTTTGGCTGGCAGGGATGTTATATTATTCAGGGTGCTGGGTTAGCAGCTGCATTTGATGGGTTTTACAACTGCCAGTCTCTTTGAATTAATGGAGACACTTAATGGGTTTCAAACTGGGATGCGTGAGAAAAATCCTGTAATGGGGAACAAAGCAATTTATTTAGTAAGACTTGGCAATCTAATCCTAGGTATATTATGACCTTATCTCAGATGGGGGTATACGGTAGACTACTTTATTTGGAGAGGAGTACGCAGCCTAGAAAGTTTGAAAACCACTGCAGTAGAGATGGGTGATTTCCTGTTTGTACTAATGATGATAAACACTTCTTGATGGTTCTCTCCTTTATTCTTCCTCCATCTCCTTCCAGTTCTCTAGCACTGGCCTCTTCTGTTTCCCCATACTCATGACTTTTGTATAATATCAGGATACTCTGTGTCCTGTAGCTCTTGCCGTGTGGAAATGCCTTTCTCTCTCTCTCTTTCCTTACCTTTTCATATCACTTAAAGTGTCAACTTTGTTCGGACCATGTTAAAACATATAGCTTTCCTTCCCTGACTAGCTTAGTTTCTTTTTCTGCTGTTTGTCAATTGGTATTGTAACTAGGGGCCCTGTTGAAATTTTATTTGCTGCAGAATGTCAATGGTCATATTTTAATAATTCTCTTTTGTCATCTATTTTTAGGATCTTGGAAACAAAGATCTTAACCGAGACAAAGTTTATTTGATTTGTCAAATAGTCCGGGTTGGAAGAATGGATCTAAAAGATAGCAATACGAAAAAATGCACTCAAGGATTGCGTCGGCCTTTTGGTGTGGCAGGTGACAACCATTTCATTTAAAATTATTAGCAGCATTTGCTTCTAATCACAGCCCATTTACATTTATTCTTTTTTTGTAATGAAAAATTTAAAAACTTGATTATTTAAAGGCAGAGAAAAAAAGCATTAAGATGAACCTTAAAATGGAAGAATGCCTTTGATTAAACACCTGAATAAAATATGTAGTAAATGAAAGCATATTTAAATATTTGTAGTAATTACTGATGGAAAAAAATTCTCCAGGAATCTAATGTGTGAGGTATATCGAGCTGTGCAGCTTGCAGCATCTCACAGAATATAAGAGCCTGATCCTGTCTACAGTGAATATGAGCAGAGCACTATATCATCTAAGAACATAAGAATGGCCACACTGGGTCAGACTAATGGTCCTTCTAGCCTAGTGTCCTGCATCCCAACAGTGGCTGGTGTCAGATGCTTCAGAGGGAGTGAACAGAACATGGCAATTTATCGAGTGATCTATCCCATGTTGTTCACATTAATAGATAGCAGGTTTAAAAACAAGCAAAAGGAAGTAATTCACACAATGCACAGTCAACCTGTGGAACTCATTGCCAGGGGATTCTGTGAAGGCCAAAAGTATAACTGAGTTCAAAAAAGAATTAGAAAAATTCATGGAGCAGCGGTCCATCAATGGCTATTAGCCAAGGTGGCCTGGAACACAACCCCATGCTCTGGGTGTCCCTAAACAGCTTCCATATGAGGCTGTTTTTGGCAGCCACAGGTTTAGGGACACCCAGAGCATGGGGCTGCTTGCCTGTCACCTACAGTGAGATCCGCACTGACACATTCTTAAAGAACAGAGAACATTTACTCTACAGCAACTGTGGTTCTTTGAGATGTCATCAGTGTGGATCCTGCAACTTGCTCTCCAACCCTGCTTTTTGGAACATAGGCTTTGAGTCGCAAGGGAACTGAGGAAGTATTGCCCTTTACACCTTCATATGGGAGCCTGCAGAGATAGAGAGTTCATGCTCATGCTCATTGATATTTAAAAAAAAAAAAGTCTTTTGGCCTTGTGTCCATGAGGCTCATGCACAACTACAGTGGTATCAACGCTGACTAAAACAACTCAAAGAACAGCAAATATTGTAGGGTAAGTGTCCATTCTTTCTGGGTGCTACTGCATCAGGTTTCAAAACTAGAATTAGACATTTTTGTGGCCCCCCCCCAATATTAAAATGAAGAATGAAATAGAAAACTGTACAACTGACAACTTACATATTGGAAAACTAAGCTCCAGTGCCATTGGGTTGATTGGAAACAGTTAATGGGAGAATCAGAATTAAAATAAACCATTTCTACATGGAAAATTATATCATAGCGCCTGGAAAAGGGTTTTTTCTTTCTTTCTCTCTCTCTCTCTCTCTAAACCAATACACACACAGAGTTCAACTTATTAGGTTTTAACAAAGGCTTCAGCTTCAATTCCATTCATATTGAAGTTCATCTCCTTGGGTAAGGTACAACGTATGGCACCCCAACTGAGTGTAAATAATTTTTTTGGTAAAGATCAACTGTATATTGTACTTTACATTGCTAGCAATAACTGATGAAATACCATTGTATGATACCTTTCCATCTAATAACCTTGAAAATCGTATCCTAAAATGCATACCTGTCCTGAAGCACAATTTATGCATTTAATGTAGGTTGTGCTAGTAAGAGAAAGGAATAATTTTCATGTTGTTATATATCAATGAATTTTATTTCTACTTTTCTAGTTATGGATATTACAGATACCATAAAAGGTAAAGTGGAAAGTGATGAAGAGAAGCAGCATTTCATTCCCTTTCACCCGTAAGAGTCAAATTTATTTTTTACAATACAAAAATTCATTTTACATGCAAAAATTTCTGTCTATGTCCATGAGCTTGTCATGGATCTTTTCTTTATTACAGATAAAGTGATTTTAAGTGCATTATATGAACATCAATGTAGTACAGTCTGAAGTATTAAAAAGAAAACAAGAAATTTTATGGGAACATGAGTGAAAAATATTAATAAGATAGCAAACCCCCCTTCCCTTTCAATATTCATAAATGTAGCCACAAGGAAAAAATACTACAGGATGCAGGCTTATTAACATGAAATGTGACAAAGACATGGAAGTTTTTCATAGGGCATCAACTAAGAATAAACGATTTCAAACTGATGTGTTCACTCCACACTCATCCAGCATTGTGACCTGTTAAACAGAACCAAAGCATATGAATGTACACCAATCCATTCTAGACAATGGGCTCCATGATTGTAGGTGGTAAATACCGTATGTATGTCATGAGTTTGAGGGAGCTGCGAAGTTGGGCTACCGAACAAGTTGAAAGGTGACTGAATTTTGAAAAAGGAAGTTCAAATTTCAATTGCAATGCAAGGCAATCTTTGACTCTGAACTTGGTGCTTACACATAAATTAAATGGAGATATAGCCTGAAGTATAGGTACCCATGGGAAACAGTTATTGAATGGCATTCTGCATAATACCGCAAGTGTTTGTATGTTCTGTGGAGAATATGCCAGTTTGCCAAGCACTTAAGCATTGGCCCCACTTCACTTTTTTTTTTTTTTAAACAATTTCATCTGTGTCATTTGAGCTGGGTATCAAGAAGAAGCATTCCTGAACTGAATAGTAGAGGGAAGGGGAAGGGGGTTCTAATGCAACTCTGGCTTCTGATGAAGAAAACTGTATTGGAAAAGGCACTAATTGAACCCATTAGGATTACCGCACATATCAAAAACATTTGATTTTGCAACAAGACACAATCTGTACCATGCAGCACAGAGTTGGCAGGGGAGACTTTGTCTCACTCCAGACAGACTCAGATACAACGTAAGGTTTAGCTACCTCCATGAACAGGTTGAGTATAATTTGGTGTACTTGCTTCTAGAATGTTTAGGGGACTTCGGTACAAAGACACTGATTGTGGTATAATTGCCTGGATAGGGTCACTGGGCTTTAACATCCAGAAAGGACATGGGTCCAACACTATCTTAGTGTTTTATACTCATCATCATAGTATCAAGAGCAAAGAGCATGACATCTGGTTATGGACTGCCCTCTTTACAGTCTTGATGGTGGATGCTATTGATGTCTCAGAATGATGCTGCTGTGATAGTTGCTACATCACTTATCCAATATCTAAGTCATTGTGCCATCAGAAGCCATATGCCAGAAGATCATAATAGGTAGTGCATAGAGCATAGGTAGTGGCCTGTAGCTCCCCAATAATTCTGAGAAACTCTTTGACTGACACTGGCCAAAATATTAAAGGAGAAGCCTTCATATTTGTCTTGCCAATCCTGATGTGATTCTGCCACCAAAGAACTAGAACAGTTCAATCCTAAAAAGAATTAATTTATCCACATAATAGATTAGAAGTACCTTGTTGTGCAATACTAAAGTCTGTGGTTCATCAGCTTTACCATCTTAAACTATTCAGCAGCTCTGGAATGTGTTGTTCAGGGGCTGTCTTTGAAGACATTTCAGTTCTGTCTTTGACATTATCTCAATATTCATGGTATTACCTATATTAAATGTAGAGAATTGTGGTAACATTAAGTAGTTGCAAATACAGACCAAGAGTGTGTTGAAGGATGATCACTAAGTGCATAGTGATGGGGATTGGTAAATAATAAAGTTGTAAAGAGCAATGACTGAGGGCATTGGCCTTATCGCTTTCTTAATTGTTTGGTATGTTCAGTGCTTACTAGGAATTTTTTTTCTATTTTCCTTTAGGGTGGTGGCAGAGAATGATTCTTTGCACAGTCTCTTAGGCAAAGTCACAGCATCAAAAGGAGACAGTGGCGGGCAAGGTAAAGTAGTCTTTGTGTGTAAGCAAACAATAAATTGTATTTAGAAATCTTGGTTTCATATTTTTTTAGAGTCTGGGTTTCAAATCAGTCCCTGTACTTCAGTCATTGGGCTAGATATACTGTGAAGCGGACAGTGATGAATGTAAATCTTTGGCAGGGGGGGAGTTAGAGGCTATTTAGATAAGCACCTGTCCCACTGAGAAAAGTGGCTTTAGTTATAGTCTAAGTAGTAGCTGTTTTTTGGCTGGGGAGGTGGGAAAGGTGACATGACTAAGCAGTTCTCTAGAGGAGAGAAAAATGGTAACTTAATTCAAAGTAAACTCAAAAGAAGTTAATTACATAATCACACACTTTTTCTATAGGTCTGTGGGTAACTATGAAAATGCTTGTTGGAGACATGAGTCAGATTAGGAAGGATTACCCGCATCTTGTTGACAGGACAACAGTTGTTGCAAGGAAGCTGGGATTCCCTGAAATAATCATGCCAGGTAGGAGGTGATTTGTTCTGCACTGAAAATAGACTTTCACCTTTTCACTATAAAGCCTAGTATAAATATCCGTAATATTTAGTTTGCAGCTTACTTCAATGTACACTTCAGAGTGATTTCTAATTTAAATATTAGAAGTTTACATCAATCAGTGAAATATAATTACTTAGGGAAAAAATGTAAGGATAAATCATTTAAAACAAAAATACTTAAACGAAGACAAAGAAAGATCAGGGATGGTGTTGGCCCACTGCTTAGTGGAGAAAGTGAGCTGGTGATAGAAGATGATAGGAAGGCAGAGCTGTTCAATGCATACTTTGCTTCAGTCTTCTCACAAAAAGAACATGTGACTGGACGACTAGCGAAATTACCATAGACAATAAACAGGAAGGGATGCAGATTGGGATAAATAAAGAACTTTTAAGATCTTCTGACTAATTTGAATTAATTCAAGTTAGTGGGGCCTGATGCTAGTCATTGCAGAGTGCTGAAGGGATTAGTTGAAAAAATCTCTGAGCCACTGGCAATAATATTTGCAAATTCATGGATGACAGGAGAGGTCCTGGAAGACAGGAGGAGGGCTAATGTAGTGCCCAGCTTCAAAAAGGAGGAGCAAGGGACCTATAGACCAGTCAGTCTGACCTCAGTACCTGGGAAGCTACTAAAGCAATGTATAAAACATTCAATTTGTGAATACCTGGAGGATGAAGGGGTGATCATTAGCAGCCAGTGTGGATATACTAAGAACAAATCCATGCCAAACCAGCTTGATTTCCTTCTTTGATAGGGTGACTGGTTTGGTGGATGGGGGAAATGTGGAAATAATATACTTGGACTTGAGCAAAGCTTTTGACACAGTCCCCACATGACATTCTGATAAGAAAGCTGGAGTAATGTGGCCCAGTGGAACTATTATTAAGTATCAGAGTAGCAGCCGTGTTAGTCTGTATCCGCAAAAAGAACAGGAGTACTTGTGGCACCTTAGAGACTAACACATTTATTAGAGCATAAGGTTTCGTGGGCTACAACCCACTTCTTCGGATGCATATATTATTAAGTAGATACATAATTGGTTAAACAACCACAAACAATGAGTAACTGTTTAATGGAATGATATCTGGAAGGAAATCTCAAGTGGGGTTCCACAGGGATCTGTTCTGGTCCAGTATTATTTTACATCTATATTAATGACCTGGATGTAGGAATAGAGAGCATATTGATCATATTTTCACAGAAAGCAAGGGGGGTTGCCAACACTTTGGAGGATAGAACTAAAATTCAAAGGGATCTGGATAGATTGGACAACTGGGCTATAGATGACTAACTGAAATTCAAAAAAGGCTACACTTAAGGAAAAAAACCCAAATGCATGAATACATAATGGGTGATAACTGGCTTGGCAGCAGTACTGCTGAGAAGGATCTGGGAGTTGTCATGGATTACAACCTCAACATGAGTCAATCATGTGATGCTGTTGCAAAAAAGCAATGCAATTTTAGGTTGCATTAACAGGGGTATGGTATGCAAGTCATGGGAGGTAATAGTACCACTCTATTCCACTCTGGTTAGGCCTGTGCTAGAGTACTGTGTCCAACTTTGGTTGCCAAAGGAAAGGATCCAGAGGCAAACAACAAACATGATCAAAGGGATGGAATGCAAGCCATATGAGCAAAGGCTGAAGGAACTGGGTATGTTTAGTTTGGGAAAGAGGAGATTAAGGGGTGATATGATAGCCGTCTTCAAATACTTGAAAGGCTGCCCTAAAAAGATGGAGAAAAGTTGTTCTCTCTTGCCACAGAGGGCAGGACAAGAGGCAATGGGTTCAAACTATACAACATGGAAGATTTAGATTAGATCTCAGGAAAAACTTCCTAATTGTAAGAACAATAGGACAATGGAACAGACTGCCTAGGGAGGTTGTGGAAGCTCCTTCACTGGAGGTTTTCAAAAAGCCATCTGTGTTGGATGGTTTAGACACAACAAATCCTGCATCTTGGCAGGGGGGTCGACTAGATGAGTCTTGCAGTCCCTTTTAACACTATGGTTCTATGATTCTAAGAGTAAGTACCATGTTTCTCATAAATTGCTTTCATGATCACTGTGTAGATAAGGAATTATTTACAGCTTTTATTAGTTGTTTGACTTTCATACTATGCTTTTGTTCCAGTTAAAATACCAATATGTATGAAGTCAGGCTATTGAATGTTTATTTAAAGCCAAATTCTTGGTTCAGATTATCCAGACTGGCATGTATGTGGCATTACGGTTTTGATGACATCTCAATTTGTTCATAGGAGGAAAACAAAAAGAGCTGTTTTATAAAGCTCCCATTTGGGGGAAAAACAGAATCTCACATCTTGTTAGTCAAATTGAGCAACAGCATCTTAACTTCACCTCACCAGAAGGTGTCACTGCAGTCTGTGAGTTAGACGAGTTCCCTTTTAGGAAACACATTTTGTCTCATTTCAGACCAGCCTATAAAATCTGATCAAATGAAAATATCAAAGCAGAACACTTTAAACTTTTCTTTAGAATGAACTTAACTTCATTTAATATAGTTCAGCATAGTGAGACGAGTATGTAAGTAATCATTATTACTTATAATAAACCCGCTTGGGTTTCCCTTTGATTTCATAATATATTTTTATTCTGCTTTCTAACCTTTTGCATTTCTGTCATAGGGGATATAAGAAATGATATTTATGTTACACTGACTACGGGTGATTTTGATAAATACAATAAAACAACCCAGAGAAATGTGGAAGTGATCATGTGTGTCTGTGATGAAGAAGGAAAAGTGATACCAGTAAGTTTTGTCTGTCTTTCCATTAGCATTAAACATGAAAATGTTAAACACATCTTAGAAGTAAGCCTTACACTTCACATGAATTTTGAATAACACTGTAATGTAATATCCTGCAGTACATTTGTGTTCTATTTCTATTGAGGAGTTTTGTCATGCTGGAATTGTTATACTTCATAAAAGCTTTAAGTAATGTGCTTAAACCCATAAAAGACGCTTGCTGACCTTTTAGTTCTGACTAGCAAGCAAACAGATGATCTGCTCTTATTGACTGTGACTCCACTTTTACTCTAGATATTTCCTCATGGGGATTCCTGGAAGAGTAAAGTAATTGCTATGTTAAACTAAATGTTCCATCTCCATTATACAACAAGCCAATGCAGGAATGGGACACGAAGACTGTATTCTTATCTCTTGGGTGGGGATAGTCTGCTTGAGTTAAGTAAGGTAGCAATGTGGACGAGTGTGTGTCTGTCTGTACATATGCAACATAAATATTTACAAGTTTTTTCATGGTGTCTGTTTTCCTTTTTTGTATAGCTTTTTTTGTCTCAAGACATTAACAGCTGTCCTACATTTAGGAAGATTTTGTTCCACTTTGTTTTGGGCTTTATGCTATTCTTTTTGGAACTATGCTGTATTCAGAAGAGTGAAAGCAGTGACATTTCTTAAGATACTGTAAATCTGGAGCAATTAACTGTGTCAAAAGCCTTACACTGGCAGAATTGAGAATTTGGCCCACATTTATCAAACTTCACGTTAATGCATGTATGATGAAACAAATCTTCATTATGGGGCCAAACATCAAAATGTGGCCTCCAGCAGTGAGCATGTAACTTTGCACATGCAAAAACTTGTGTGCACATCAGTCATGTGAAAATGAAGGAGAAAGACACCCCAAAGAGTTTTGGATCTCTAGTTCTAAGTTCTGTTGCCTGCATCTGCAAGTAACGATGTTAACCCATAAGTGCAAGTTTGGGGATGTGCAAGTGGAAGCTAGGAAGAAGTCCTTTTGGAAACCTGGCACTATTTTATGTCTTCACTTAATTTTCTGTAACAGTGCCTATCCCAAAGTCTAGGCACCTCCTCATTAATACAGTACTTAATAAAATGAACATATTTAAATATCCAGAAATAAAATAACATCGTAACTTAAATTTTCTATCCTACTCTATGGGTATGTCTACACTACGAGGGTAGTTCGATTTCACTTAAATCGAATATGTGGAATCGATATTGCAAAGTCGAACGTGTGTGTCCACACTAAGGACAGTAATTCGACTTTGTGAGTCCACACTAACGGGGCAAGCGTCGACATTGGAAGCGGTGCACTGTGGGCAGCTATCCCACAGTTCCCGCAGTCCCCGCTGCCCATTGGAATTCTGGGTCGAGCCGCCAATGCCTTCTGGGTAATAAAATGTGTCAAGGGTGCTTTTGGGTAACTGTCGTCATCCGTCCGTCACTAACGCCCTCCCTCCCTCCCTGAAAGCGCCGGCGAGAAATCGGTTCGCGCACTTTTCTGGTCAGTGACAGCGCGGACGCCACAGCACTGCGATCATGGATCACGCTGCGACCATCGCTGCAGTTGTGGCCGTTCTCAACGCCTCGCAGCTTATCATACACCTTTCCCTGAGGCAGATGCAGAGAAATCAGGCGAGGAGGCTACGGCACCGCCGTGAGGGCCTGAAGTCGGAGAGTAGCACAGAGCTGTCAGAAACCACGAGCCCCAGCGCCCAGGACATCACGGTGGCAATGGGTCATGTGGATATTGTGGAACGGCGATTCTGGGCCCGGGAAACAAGCACGGACTGGTGGGACCACATAGTGCTGCAGGTCTGGGATGAATCCCAGTGGCTGCGAAACTTTCGCATGCGGAAGGGGACTTTCCTCGAACTTTGTGAGTTGCTGTCCCCTGCCCTGAAGCACAGTGACACCCGGATGCGAGCAGCCCCGACTGTCCAGAAGTGAGTGGCCATAGCCCTCTGGAAGCTTGCAACGCCGGACAGCTACCGGTCAGTCGCGAACCACTTTGGTGTGGGCAAATCTACCGTGGGGGTTGTTGTGATGCAAGTAGCCAACGCAATTGTTAAGGTACTGCTCTCAAAGGTAGTCATCCTGGGAAACGCGCAGGTCATCATAGATGGCTTCGCCACGATGGGATTCCCAAACTGCGGTGGGGCTATAGATGGGACTCACATCCCTATCCTGGGACCGGACCACCAGGCCAGCCAGTACATTAACAGAAAGGGCTACTTTTCAATGGTGCTGCAAGCACTGGTGGACCATAGGGGACGTTTTACCAACATCAACGTCGGATGGCCGGGCAAGGTTCATGACGCTCGCGTGTTCAGGAACTCTGGTCTGTTTAGACGGCTGCAGGAAGGTATTTACTTCCCGGACCACAAAATAACTCTTGGGGATGTGGAGATGCCTACAGTGATCCTCGGGGACCCAGCCTACCCGCTAATGCCCTGGCTCATGAAGCCCTATACTGGCGCCCTGGACACAGAAAAAGAACTCTTCAACTACCGGCTGAGCAAGTGCAGAATGGTGGTGGAGTGTGCTTTTGGCCGTCTCAAAGGGAGATGGAGAAGCTTACTGACTCGCTGTGATCTCAGCGAAACCAATATCCCCATTGTTATAGCAGCTTGCTGTGTGCTCCACAATCTCTGTGAGAGCAAGGGGGAGACCTTTATGGCAGGGTGGGAGGTTGAGGCAAATAGCCTGGCTGCTGATTACGCCCAGCCAGACAGCCGGGTGATTAGAAGATCCCAGCGGGACGCGCTGTGCATACGGGAGGCTTTGAAAGCAAGGTTCCAGACTGAGCAGGGTAACCGTTGACTATTATGTTTGTGGACACAGAAGCTGAACCTGCCCCCGTTTCTTTACCCAGTTCATGTTGACTATCCTCTCCAGTTACATACCCCCTCCACCCCCTTCCCAAAAAATAAAATCAGTTCTATTTAGTTAATGAACACCGTTGTCTTTATTACTGTTTTCGCGGGAATGTTTTAAACCGGGGACGCAGACTGTGGCGGGGGGCGGGTTTAGTGTTCTGATGCAAATGATGCTTCTAAACTCCAGGAATGACAGGCTCCGCAGTGGTGGACTGGTTGTTTCAACGGAGCCTGCCAGCACTCCTGGGCGGAACTGCGTGTATGTGTCGGCTATGTGACTTTCTGGCAGGGGGAGGAGGGTTACAGATCCCCTGCTGCGTGGCTCTGTGATCCAGGATAAGGACCGCTGCATAAGATCTGTAACTGCCCTCCCCCGCCACAAAGTCACAGAGCAACCCCCGCCCCCCCACAGAACATGAAAACCACCTCCCAGACTGACCAGGGTAACTAGTGACTGCACTGTGTATGTGTCCTGATGCTGGACCTGACCCCGCCTCTGTACCCTGCTAAAGGTGACTGTCCTGTCCAATTACCAAGCCCCTTCCCCCCCTTCAGACAGACTCTCCTCCAAAAGAAAATCATGGAAACAGTAATTAACAGAAACGAATATTTTATTATGAACCACACATGAAACGTGGGGGGTGAAACTTGCACGGGGGCTTGTGTGAGGTGGGTAGGAAAGGACTTTTCAAATTTTGGGGAATGAGAGCCTTCTAGTGCTAGAGCAGTCTGCAGGGGTTGACTGAAAGTTTTAACGGCCCTTGCCGCCCCTCCTTCTTTGTACTTTGGGTGAGGGGGGTGTGGGACTTGGTGGCGGGGGAGGGCGGTTAGAGATAGACTGCAGCGGGGCTCTGTCCTCCTGCCTCCGGTCTTGCAGAACATCCACAAGGCGCCGGAGCGTGTCCGTTTGCTCCCTCATTAGTCCAAGCAGCTTTTCAGTAGCCTGCTGGTCCTCCTGACGCCACCTCTCCTCCCGTTCCATGACTGCTCGGTGCATTTGTGACAAGTTCTCCCTCCACTGTGTCTGCTGGGCTGCCTGGGCTCGGGAGCAGCCCATTAGTTCTGAGAACATGTCCTCCCGCGTCTTCTTCTTCCTCCGCCTAATCTGCGCTAGCCTCTGGGAGTGTGCTGACAGGCTGGATTGGGAGACAGTCGCAGATGTGTCTGTGGGAATGGGAAAAAGGGAGTGAATTCCTGAGACAGATAAATGAAGTTGTGTACAAAGAACCTAGTCTTTCTCTGTGAACAAGACCATGCACTGCACCTCTCACATGCGCACTCAGGACAAGGTCAAATTTTCGGCCCTCGCCTTCAGTGCCTGGGGTCTTGCAGTGGTCTTGCAGTTATCTGAGAAGCGGGGCAGGACACCTGAACTTCTGTAGCGGGCAATCATGGTAAGCCGTAGACTTGTGGCTGCTTAAAACTGTAATAGTAGCACTGGCCTCCTTTCACATTGAAAGCAATGCCAGTCTCTGCTGCCAGCAATCAGGACAGCATGAACTCTGCCCCTGTCCCACCCCCTCGCGGCTGTCCCAGGGAAAGATCCCTGTATGCTGCCCCTCTCCCTCCACCGCGTGGCTGTAAAGCAGTCCCAATACTAACATTCCCCTCCCTAATTCAAAGCAGTGCATCATGAGTGACATCACCCTCATGAGGATCTCGGACAGCGAGAAGGAACGCATGCTTAGGGAAAGCATGCAAAAACCAGGGCCGTATGCTGCCATGCTCTGCCGTGCGATGATCCCAGAATACTTGATTGTGTCGTGGCGGGGAAACGTGTCCTACCACGGAGGGCCCAATAAGATCGCCCTACCCAGGAACCTGATGAACAGGCTGGAAATGTACCTCCATGAGACCTACGAGGAGTTCTCCTATGAGGATTTCGCGTCTATCCCCGGCCATATTGACCGGATTTTCGCGTAGGTGCACTGGGACTAAAGAGTGGAGCGTCTTGGGCAGCAGAATCATGAATTACCGGACATTGTAAAATTTTTTTTAAATACTTGGGACTAAATAGTGAAGAGCCTAAGGCAGACAAATCATGAGAAACCCTTTGTTACTATTGTAAATATTCCAGTTTTGTTGCAGATAATTGTTTACATGTTT